TTCTGGAGATGCAGAAGCAGCCTCAGCGGGATTGGCTGGTGTAGGTATAGCACTAAGTGACAAGGCCGAGGCGGCACTACTGGACTGGTTCCCTATTAACAGCCGATTATGTGCAGTTCGGCTTCGGGTTCATGTAGAATCAACAGGCACCACGAAGAGAGACATAACTTGTTTGTGATCTCCGTGTACGCTCCAACTGACTGCAGTGGTGACTCGGTCAAGGATGAATTCTACCAGGATCTACAACAACTCTTGACTAATGCTAGAAAGTCGGATGTCGTTATCCTTGCTGGGGATTTTAGTGCACGGGTTGGCCGCCTGTTACCATACGAATGCCATCTTGGTGGTCATCACGCGCTCGACGAGAAGCGCTCTGATAACGGGGAGAGACTTCTCACATTGTGCGAAGACAATCGTCTGTTTCTTTCTAGCACTAACTTCAGGCGTACGAAGTAGCGTTCCGCAACGTGGTGTCCCCCTTCTTCAACACCACCGTGGTCTCAAATTGATCATATTGCAGTTAGCTTCAGATGGCACGGCAGCGTACTGGACTGCAGGTCCTTTTGGTCCACCTTCGTTGATTCAGATCATGTTCTGGTCTGCGCAAAAATCTGTTTGTGTTTTGGAGGACTCCGAAACACGAAGCATCGCAAGATTGATGTATACAGCTTAACAGATTCTTCTGTCCAGGCGAGCTATCAGTCTTCACTGGAATATGCACTCAGTTGCAATCCACCGCAAGAAGTAGAACAACACTGGACTTGTATACGGAAAGCGATGACCATTTCCGGGCAGTCATGCTGCGGCCTAACTCGACGCCCCTTGAAGGCTTGGATCTCTGCTCGTTCTCTGGAGCTGTTCGAACGCTGAAAAGATATCCCGGCGGAATCAGATTGCAACGAACGGCGTCGTTTTGCCAACCTGCTGCTCAAGCAAGGCATACGCAAGGATCGCGAGACGTGGTGGTCTGACCGTGCTTTAGAGATGGAGACCGCTGCCCTCGCTGGCAACACTCGCAGGTTTTTCCAACTCATTCGATCTACTGGCCTCAGGAATTCTGGTGTCAGTGAGGTCATTTGTGAGGTGGATGAGTCTCCGACCACCAACCAACAGAGGCGCATAGACCGCTGGTCCGAGCACTTTCACTTACAGTTCAACTGGCCTCCACCATCCATCAGTACATGCAGTACACGATGTTGTCCACCCTGGCTAGTCCCACTGAATCCACCCAGCGAAGCGGAAGTCTGCCTCGAGATTCGACGCTTGAAGCGGTTCAAGGCTGCGGGCTCAGACGAACTACCGCCGGAGCTTTTCAAGTACGACGGTGTGGCGGTCAATAACCAGCTGACTGCGCGGTTCGCAAAAATGTGGCATGAAGAGAAACTGCCTTCCTCTTGGGGCGAAGCAGTAATTGTCCCGATTTTCAAGAAAGGCGCTGGCACTTCATGTGTAAATCATCGCGGGATTAGTCTTATTTCGGTTGCCTCTGAACTACTGGCATCCATTCTACTTCGCACACTATCCTCAGTACGTGAATCATACTACCGTGAAGAACAAGCTAGTTTCCGTCCTGGCCGCGGATGCGTGGATCAAATCTTCACGATCCGCCAGCTCCTCGAATATCACCACATTTATCACAGGCCCGCTATCGTTGCATTCCTAGACATACGTGCCGCTTTTGACTCCGTTGATCGGGCTTCTTTAAGGCGTTGCTTGCTAAAGAACGGGGTGCCAGAGAAATACACCGCCATTTTACGAGCACTTTACTGTCATATATCCGGCAGTGTGAGGGTCTATGGCAAACTTTCCTCGCAATTCGCTGTCAATAGCGGTGTGCGACAGGGCTGCTCTATGTCCCCATTTCTCTACAACTTCGCAATCGAAGGCGTTCTGTCGAATGCTTTAGAATGTTTCCAAGATTTTGGCTTAGAGCTTCTACCAGGTGAGCGCGCGACCGACTTAGATTATGCTGATGATATCGCCTTACTTGGTGACGATGCTCAGGGTATGCAACTCATTCTGGATAGTTTGGTGGTTGAAGCGTCTAAGTATGGCATGAGCTTCGCCCCATCGGAGTGTAAAGTACTGCTCAAGGATTGGCTTTCACCTGCTCCCATACACACTCTCGAAGGTGAACAACTTGAACAGGTAGTTAGTTTCATCTACCTCGGCAGCTGTGTTTCTGCTGACGGCATTATCAACAAAGAATTTTCTCTTCGTATCGCTAAAGCTCGATCAGCATTTGTCAATCTGAGGCACATGTGGCGTCGTCGCGCCGTCTCATTCTCACTAAGGGGCCGCATTTAGAGCGCAGCAGTTCGCTCAGTATTGTTGTATGGGTGCGAGTCCTGGCAGATTCGCGTGGAAGACATGCGTCGTCTTTCTGCCTTAGATAACGGTTGCTTAGGGAGGATCGCTCGTGTTCGATGACAACATCGAGTTAATAGTAATGACGTTCGACGTCGCAACTTGGGGAATGCGAGTATTCCCTTCAACAAACTGGTTTTGTTGCGCCAGTTAAGATGGCACGGTCACGTCCTACGCATGGCACCTGAGCGTCTACCGCGTCGCGCTCTATTCGCTCGTCAAGGACCTAGCTGGAAGCGACCGCGTGGTGGTCAGCCTTCCATTTGGCCGCAGCACATGAAGTCTCTGACGTCGTGTCTGGCTGCTGTTGGATCGGTACGTCTTCTAGCATGGGGACCCAAAGATGAGGAGTGCCAATTGCTTGGCACACTTGAATACATGGCCGCAACCGGAATCAGTGGAAGAATTGTGTACAGTATTGGATTGCTTCACATATTTAATACTACAAACATTGAAAATGACAAAAAAGAGAAACAACGGCGTGTGAAAAACAAACTAACAACGTTTTGTTTTACTTTTTGTCAAAATGTTCCATTCTTTCTGCGGCACATTAGCTGTAGTGTGTTGCTCACCTTCAGCTACCATGCCACGATGATTAAGACGCAGTGACTTCCCTTATCTGCCAACCTCCATGGCTTTGTTGGCTCTATGTCTAGTTTCTAGGCTGTTGAGATTACATGGTTGGCGGCATCCGGTTTCGGATTTGCCTTTCACTATGGCCACCCGCAGGACGCCTGCGCCTACAGAGGGACCATGGATGGCTTGCGCTGCACCACCCACAGCTCCAACCACATACCCCATATCCAGTGTAAACCCGAAGGAATAAGACCGGGAGGCATGTGGATGGGAGCCACGTTTCATCAACGGAGCCGGCCCACACTCCTTCACAGCAAACACAAGCACGCTGCATTTGGGGAATAAAGCGCACACAAGCCGGTAGTTGGACCGTGCATGGAACCACTCTTCGAGCCTAGCACGACCACAAGGACCGTGCACCCCGTCCCCTCCAGCAACGACAAAATGTCTCCTGGAGCCAGATGGACGAGGTAGTGGGTAATAGACAGGTAGGCACCTTGTCAACATGCACATCAAGCGCAGCCACACCGGGGATATCAAGCAACAGCCAGTCACTTGAAACGACAAGATGAAATAAAATAAATCGAATAATGCATGCAGATACGGTGGCATAACTCTTCGCTAAATTAGCATATGAAGTAAGTTGGTTAGCAACGAATCCGCGAGAAGTAAATTTGTCCACAAGTTACTTAAAAATGTTACAAACGCAACAAAGTTACCGAAGATAAGCACAATTAGCGTAATCAAAGTGGCCAGTTAACAGAAGATTATTCAGGTAGGAGAACAAACCAAATAAAGTGGAATGAAATTTAGCCAGCTTAAAAAGACCTAGTTTAAGTGTAAGTTGGTTCAGCCCAACTGCGGTGAAGAGGCATCAAGAATGCAACATCAGCCGCAGCATGGGGCATGATTACATACATACATACATCTTGGAGTCTGAGTTAAGAGATTCATACGCATGTAGGAGTCGCATGCTCCAGTTTCCCAAAACTTAGGTTCTCCGCGGTTCGTTCTCGATAAGATACTCAGGCATCCAGTACAATGTGACATGAGTTTCCCTAGTGAGAGCTCAATTGATACATGACTTTTCTCCTCGTCCTTTTGTCGTTATTGGCTGTTGGAAAATGCTTTTTTAATCGAATATACTATTCTCTCGAATAGCTCAGACTAGTGGTAGTAAATCCAGCAGTAGCTGGCTTGCATCCGAACGCATACAGCGTATCCCTACGGCAAGTTTAATCCAGAACCCAAGCTTTACCACTGCAGTTGGCGGTCCATTTGAGCAAGGGGACAGCAGACGAGTTCTAGGTGCAGCTAGATGCAAAATGAAGAGCACCTTCGACGATGGTGTGTACGCGAAATTATATTGTTATGCTTTCTTGCTTAGTTGATGACATTTAGCTCGTACATGGTTTGGGAAAATACGCTATTGTTTTGCGATCTTGACTTTCAGTCACTGGCCCTCTGGCACATTTTTGGGAATAGAAAGGTAATTAGACCCCGACGACTTTAAGCATCCATACAAAGACTTGAACCATCTGAATGGTGTGACAAATGAAACTGGTGGTTGGTTCTCATCGATAGGCACTCAACATTTGGTCTCCACAGATAATTTAAACAACTTAGTGAAAAAACCTAAATTGTTAGATTTGTCACCTCTTTTTATCTATTTAGAATGCTTAATGTAAATATGGGGCATTTCAACACAAGGATGTTTGTGTCCGAGTATAGTTGAGGGATGCGCTTGAGATGGAGGTGGTGTATGGTCACATATGATTAACGGTGATACTCAGAGTGGAAAGCATTTTGCTCCCAGCGCAATACTCAGTCTCAGTTTCTTCTCCGTCCGAAATATGGTAACGATAGAAAGACGTAGACGTAGTAACATGTTTATCCTCGGACATCAAAAGTTGGGTATCTGGTGCACGGTGAATGTTTTTGACGAAGCAAAAAGGACCCCACCCTTTGTCTTGCTCAGTCATATTGGATTCAGCCAAATCTGTATGCTACGTTAACGATCCAACGGGAGGATAAACAAAACAAAGGCCTACTCATACCTTTCTGAAAAATGACTGTCTTTGGGGAATGTAGACGGAAATCCAATCTATCAACAGCCGTTGAGGAAGTAAGGCCCACATGTACGTCAGCAGAAAAGTTCTTCACCACTTCGGTGTATCCAAACCGTTCCACCCCAACACGGAGGAGGCCACGAGTTCCACACACACGATATACGCGGCGACTAATTCCGATTTCCATCCATTGTAGTAGCATGCTGGAGAAAAGACGTTACATCCGTTTTAGTTAGGTACTAGACATAGGGAGCTGATTGATGAGATCTAAGTAGCCAATCATGTTTTGGTTATCGGGACGATCTATGCAAAACCGCATGGTCAGTTATGTCAGAATCGTGAGTCTCCATAGCACCAAGTGTGATGCAGGTTCCGTCGGTTGTACCAGATAAGTAACTAAAACAGGGCTCATAACACAAGGAATGTGATAGCCCATCATTAAATTAAAGCCGTTTCGTCCTCCATCAGAAGCACCAACACAGTGCTAGTGGGGACCCAGCTGTTTAAGTCTTCTTGCCTTTTGTGTGTGCGCTGTCCTCCAAGTGGTGGCCGTAGAATTCTCCTTTGATGGTGTATCTAACGCAAAATGGTACTGTGAATATCTGGTGTTTTTCCTCCTTATGTTGGCTAGTTAATGATTTGGTACTATCAGACGTTCCACTGAGAACCACTAGCCACTGTTACATTGAATTTACACGCTCTGCATGAGGTCGCCTCGACGTGGTACGGTGGACTAGGCTGCGATCGATAGCACGCATACTCCCGGCGAATCCAGAATGGTAAGAATGGCCGGGTGGTGTCTTGCTGAGATCCGAAAACTGTCTGACTAGAGAGAGCGATAAAGAACTCCCCCGAAAGTGATCGCTTCAGTTGCGCTTACAGGAATTAAGATTAATTTGTAAGCAAAATACGTGACCCAAGGGGTAAGTTTAGAAGGCAAGTACACATCTCTAGTGATCGATGCACTTCGATGCCATGTTTCTTTAAAACACAAACATTAACTTACCAGAATAGCATTTCCAAACTCACGAGCAAACGAATGCAATTAAATTCTCGTTACTACGTATTACTTAGCTCAGCGCGTACTTATAAACTTATTCGCTAGATTACATGGTTTTTATACTTCAGAACGGGCTGTCCGGTGACGCAGGAGCACAGTCTTTCCGATCGGTTGCAGTTTCTGCCTCTAAAATATATCTAGTTCGTTTAGCAACCGCTGCGCTCTGAGTGAGGGTATTTGATCTTCCTAACATGCTTACCTAGTTTGGTATATCTGACATAGTTGCCTAAAGCCGTCTGCATAGCTGCCTTATAACCTGTTTTCGCTCAGAAGCTTGTCTACTCTTCCTTAGCAAATCTTACTGGGCGCTTTAGTCTTACTACAGAGGTATATGTGATCGAAACACAAGAAACAGATCAAAAGAAAAACTGGTTCATGAGAACAATTCTGCTGGAATTCGGTAAACGCACTTGCATCGAATAGGTCCCCATCCCAACTCCTACGAACACATGAAGCAGGATATCAATGTACCTACCATATTTGGAAAAAGGATCCCTCCGCTGATTGTGGTGCACCGCAAAGCACGGACCTCCGGTTTAGCCAAGTACAACTCGTAGGCAGCATTGTAGCACAACCAATCTCGTTCGAGTAAACGTCGCTGTGTATTCGCGACGACAGAAGGAAGGCATCAGTAACAGAGCTTAGTAGCTAACACCTTTGATGCTTGACTCATAGGGGACCAAAGAGTCAGAAACCAGGATCGTAGGCTCAATGTTATGCGACCCAGTAATACACTCACCTGACGCGTAGTTTTTCTTGAGGTTCATTTGGGTCGTAAACCTCGAATTGCAGCCCTTCTTCAGTCAGTGCAGTTTTAGTCCTTTTTTGCTTCTGAGATGTATTAAGGTCCTGCCATCCGGCTCGACTAACAAGTAAGAAGGCCATACGCCTCCTACCGATATCTTCTTGCACAAACGAAGTGACTGAACGGTTCAGCTTGATGTGAAACAGCTCTCCTTTGCCGTTACTAACACCGACCAATCGGTACATGGCGTCTGACTTGGATGAGTACAGGTGTTCAGCCGTCAGTCTAAATCCCACTTTACCCGGCATAATCGTCTCTAAAGCGTTAGGGGCCGGGGGCGTAGTAGTCAACATAACAAACTGGTTCATGGAGTTCAACATTTGAATCAGTGGACTCGGACTGATGCTCAACATAATTGGTCTGATTGAGATGACTTTGGAGCCTGCATCTGCCACGTACTGCATTCTCTCACTGTACGGGTTAGTTTCGGCAGTTCCCAAATGCTGAAGGACACTCAGAGCATCTTTGGCCACTTGGAACATGTCGTTATCGTTTGTAATGTCACCAAGATCTCCAGCATCGAATAAGTGTATTTCGATGACTTGTAGCTCTGCAGTGCCCTGAGTGTTTAGCTGTTTGTTAGTCCGAAAGTACACTTGGCCAGTGTTCACTTGGTACTGCGTGAAAAAGTGTGTCGCACCAGATCCGATGACTTGGAGACCACCAAACGTGTGAGTGGAACCGGTGGAAAACGGATCCGCTATCGCATAGATCAAGCGAGTCGGGTCGGAATCCGGATCGATGAATTCCAAATGCTTCCGGCTCACAACGACATCTGTTCCAGGAAGAACTTCCAGTCTGTGCCGCACTTGTTTTAACCGAGGCAACTGACGACACTTCTTAGTGATTCGAATCGGTAACGTGGCATGGATCGGGTGCTGTGAGAAATCAAACACAATCTTCAGCACAGCGTTCAACACTTGGTCTATATAATCCTTACACCCGTTTGCTGCAAAGGCGATTAGTCGATTAGCTAGCTCGTCCGTGGAGAATTGGTTGATGGCTTGCTGGGGACGTCTCGCATTCACAAAGTGTCCGCATGACATCGGTTGAGTTCGGCCATCGACAGTAAAGTTGTAACCTGATGAGGTGAAGAGCGAAATATTGGCGTTGACACGCACCTCATCCGTTGCATATGTGCCATTCCAAGTTGGCAGACTGGACAGAAACATTTGGTAGGTCAGAAATGAGTGCTGTTCAACGCAGGCATCCCAGGTGGGCAATGGGACCGCCGTCTGAATTGGGTCCACGAGTTCACTCTGGTCCATTTGATGCTGAGGGTGTTTATCATCTGGGTCTAAAATGTAAAAGACACCCAGTGATTCAGAGAACATTTCGACAAATCCCGTCTATAGTGACACAGTTGCGTAGATGTCATATGCGTTTTAAGCTTTGAATCAACGTATAAAAAAGTTTTCAGAACGAGCTGAGATTGTCCCAACGCAGTCACCAATCTAATAGGTAAACTTTAAGTCAAAATAGAATTTATGAATCAGTGGACACATTTTCAGCGTGCTATGCCAACGCCTCAGATGCAATGAGACATGACATTAGTTTAGACTTACCGTGCAATGGTGAAAAGTAAACTATATACCTATTTCACGCAAATAAACTTTCGAGCGTGATATCGACGACCTTTTGGGGGTCTGCAAGAGTATGTGGTAAATACGATGATAGAGATTTATGATAAAATGAAGTACGATAAAACGGAACCCAAACTTTTGGGCGAGTAGACTAAAGGGAAAGAGTTGTTGCTACACCATCATACATGGGGTGAAAAGGATCAAATAAAAGCTCTAAAAAAGCTTTTCCTTTGCACCGACACGGTTAGCAAAAATAAAGTTCACGCGATGCTCTCTAGGTGGTCCACCGCACCCGGAGATGGGTTTAATAAAGCGCACAACCACTGAAGACGACCAGAGAAAGGATATGTAAACTTTACAACCAGTGGGGAGAATAGAGATGGTAACGGATTTATACATCAATTAACTTGACACTGAAAGCAATTTGAGTCTCGAGGCATATCATTAAACAGCTTGATTTCGCATATGTGGAATGACCGCACGCAAATACGGTGAAGACAAGGATGAGCCGGACATAACCCAACGTCATCGGGAGGTAAATTAAAGTTATTCCGGTTTGTTATAGGTTAGGTTACTTTTATACCTATCAATCTATACTCGAAATACTATGGGTTGTTGCGACTGAATATGTTCCACTGAAGCAACTCGCATTCACTCGTATCTTTCTAGTTATGTTTAACCGGAGTGTGAAATGGTAGCGATCTTATAATCGTGGAGTCGAAAGTTAACCATCTTACTACCTTTGGTGAATTGGCATTTACCACTGGCCGGATCCTGGCCCTAATTGGACCCAAATAACCTGTGCGCTGAGCGCCCTGAATTGGGACCATTCATTTGTTCAAAAGCCTCAACTCTGCCAACACTACAGTATGCATAAAAAATATAAAATATAATGTGTCAGCTGTACGCCGAAATGGCGCTTTGCTGCCGCGCGACCACCACCAGTCGCGAGTGGGATGAATATAACGCGAGGACGCCCACTCCTACGCGGATTCGAACCGAGGACCTTATGGTTTTAAACCAGGTGAGCAGACCACGCGGCCCCCGGCCGACGTTGAATGCATACTCTCGTTCTAGCTGGTCAAGCCTCTTTTACCTAACCTTCATTAAGCCTCCAAGTTGGCGCTTTAAAAAATTTACTGCGAATATTTCTTTTCAAGCCCAGATGTGACTAGGCAACACAGCTTTGGCCTTAAACATGTAGACACAAACACAAGAGCGGTACAATAGCCAGGATGTTTAAACTTGAAAGCAACGGGTAGCTGGTAGCGTAGCGAACTTGAAAATCACTGTCCTCATTATCGTGTTTTAAGTCGCTTTTTCTTGGGACCAAATCTTCTCTGAGATTTCTTGACGGTAACCGCTTCTGCGCTTGTCCGTTACTTTCTACCGCAGACACTCACGAGATGCCTGCTTTCATCGAGACGCCGTAAGTAGCTGACAGTGCACCACCCAAGACTTCCATCAGCCTTCTCATGTTCAAAAAGGAGACTGCAAGACATGTAAAGGAAAGCTACGCTATTTGCCAACCCGATTAATATTTCACGAACATGTAGAGCCACCTCGACTACATGAAGTTGCGACACGAAGACCCATTCAAGGAGAAGCCCAGAGTGCGACGCACAAGGGTACGATTACATGTTCGACTCTTACGGGACTAATGCCTTTAAGTCATTCACCCAGATACAAGTAGAGAAATATAGGTCTGAAAGGTGCTGATGGCAGATAGTCCTTAGCCTGTTTCATGATGGTATCACTGTTTGAGTCATAAGGACGGTGCACCCTACTGGTACCGGAAATGAATACCTGTCTTCCGAAGCAAATACTCACAGTGTGGTGGCACCAGACGGGACTAACCAATTTGAGCAGACAGAGGAACGAAGCAGACAGCCAATTACAGGCGAGCCTAGAGATTCGCTGACTGGACACAGCACGCACGATCGTTCATCTAAGCTGCTCAGCTTATTGGTTAGTGCCCGGAAGTGCCACGGTGAACTGCTAGTTATTTACCCCCAATATTGCAAGCCACCACTGATTTCGTCCTTCCTTTGACACAACATATAGAGATGGGCGCAGATGAGAGTGGAACCCGTGACGGCTGAAGCCTTGACCGCGGGGCCACTGAGATCCGTAAACAACGTTTGACACAGTAGTCGGGAAGTCCAAGTAGTACATTGAATCACCCACGATATGTTTGGATGGCGATACGCATCTGCGGCTACTTCTGTCTGCTGCGTCCGAACGAGGACAAACGGGTCGTGGAGGGAATGTTGTATTCGAGAGCGGGCAACATCGAAAACCGAGGTTCCAGGGAGATTGCGTATCGCAATTCAAACATACGGTGCGTACTCCAAAGCCTAAAGTGGAACCACCGTTGTTAATTTAATTGACTCTCAGGGGGGAACCCATGAGTCCAAAGACCTCTTTGTTATTGGGAGGAAACGAGTGATATCTACAAAGATATTATGCTGGCCAACTATCCTATCTTTTTCATCTACTTGCTGGATAAGCTGCATATCCTGACGGGCATTGTATCAATATTCACACAGTGCGTGGACGTTCAGGGTATCTCAAGTGACACACTACATCCATCCATTCGGGGTGTCAGTCGACTGAGACGATTAGGTATGGTGTGTGCCACCTCGCTGACAGTACTGGCAGTTCGTTTGAGCATCATGCTTACTCGTTTTCTAGCACGCTCTTGAGAGTCCGTGCTGCAGACTCAAGACATTCCAGTTTATCCGCAGAAGAGTGGCCTGCGATCACCGTTTATCTACTGTCGAATCAAATACGCAATGTCACCAGATGAGAGTTCCGTTGCCAACCGGACGAAATGACGATCAGCAGCGGCGCATTACCGCGTCGTCTAGGAGCTTGGTTTAAGCCATGCCCGTGCGAGTGCTTCCCGCTTGTATACAGAGACACCAGATTATCCCCGCATTTACGCATTTAAGCAACTAGGACGCGTCGCTGAGGACACCTGTGCAGCCGTAGCGATTACGCTGTCGCAAGAGCGGACATGTTCAACAGCCCATAAGATACCAAACTGAGCATAGTGAATAATTATTCACCCATTTGTTGTTCAGCCTCACTTGCCAAGTCCTCATAAGTCGAAAGCGATTCATGTACCTGGGTTACATCTTCACGCTTAATGATTTCATCATCTGAGGAAGCGAAACCTTAAATTTTGGTACTGGAATGTCCTCAAACTATACAATGAGACCTATTGCAGAGGAACTGCTTGGATAAGAGATCCTATGCCGATATTTCTTGACAATGACTTTTAAACTAAGTACGTAAAAGTTGCAGCCTGTTGCGCTCCGCGCGTTTTAACTCCAAACTATGGGAATAGCAAATGGCAAGCTTTTGTGCTTGACCATTGTCCAGTTACTAAGCATTAGCTCGCAATATTGTCATAAGGTAGGCTACTCATTTATTATCTTGGTCATTAATGGGTATTTCAAATATGCTTTTTAGACACGTTTTACAAACCAACTGACATGTTTGTTTAGACGAGCGAGTGAATAACGTTCGAATATATAGCACAAAGTATTAGGTTCATTTGTATACTTATGTCTACTTGGGTGAGTCATGGTCATCTCTGGACCGAACGTGGGTTAGTATATAATTTTCTATTTAAGTAAGCAGTCAAAATACATGCAGACTAGGACACGCAGAGAAACGGGTTTCAGATCTGAAATCAGCACTGAAAGTCCATTTAGAATCCGTTTTTAAGCCTCTTGCTGTAGAAGCTGAAGAGCTTTTGTTGCTCTGTGTAATAGATAGTTTAAAAGTCAAGTAACAAAAGTGAACTTTGTGCCTCTGCTGGCAATCAATGCCGCATTTCAGTTGTTGGCAGCACGAGGGAAATAGCACAAGTCACTGGACGGTTGTCAGCTAATCGCCATGGCTGATGAAGCGGTTGGCTTTCATTGCACGGAGTTACGAACGTAGGCAGAGGCTATCAATAGATTGACTAACGGAAGACACGTAATGAAGCTTATCCAATGATACTAAAATTTTGTGCATACTCTTCGACCACATACATGTAACTATTAAGGGATACAAAACAAGATCACCTGAATTCAATTGGTGGGCACTGTTTCACGATTGGTGCGTATTGGCTGTTTGTACGTGGTCGAAGAGCATGCACGAAATGACAGTATCATCCCTCGAGCCATGTTTTCTGATATTGTTATTTGGAATTAAAAATGGAATTTCCTTTTTCAAAAAGATGTGAGATTTAAATGAGACAGCGAGTATCGGATGACTGTTGATACAAATATAAATCAAACAGGGTAAAATCGTACAGCTATTGGCCGAGAATACTTATTCACGTCAACAGTAAAACACAGGCAAGCGATAGGGCTGTTCAAAGTTGACATGGCCCGAATGTTATCATCCAGTTTTTTCAAATGCAAATGGGCCAAAGATGACGGATCTCTAAGTCCCTCAGCTGCATAGTAAAACAGTGTTTTTGAAATCTTCTACGACTGCATAACTGTTGACCCACCAACCACGCCCAGTAAAGTCTCAACTGATATCTACAGAGCCCTCTTAGCATTTTCAGAGATTTTCAGACCCTATGATTTGGACCTTAGCAGATTCATGAGGCATCTTCATAACGCGCATTAGTATGGGTTATTTTGGTTAAAGTGTTTGCGATTTGTCCTATTTCAATTCAATGATGCAATACCATAACTTAAAGTACGCTACAATCAATGTACCTTTTCTTTGAGTCACATCCAACTGGGAAGACAACTGCGTCAGGGTGTACAAGGAGAATCCAAGAAAAACCCTGTAAACTGAGAAGTCAGCCGTAATCTCGCCTCCTAACGAACACAGAAACTAAACTTTGTATGCGGAATAACTCCAGATCAGTGCAATCACATCTTACCATATCAAAAGCCAAAAAGGTATGCGACTCGCAAGGACACAAAGTGGAGAATCGGAGGTTAACAGACAGAGAGAGCAACTGACAAGGAAGAGAAGGCACCCGGGACGTTACAGGGTCCTGCACAGTCCCAACTGCAATCAATGTCGGACCCTCGCTAGAACAAGCCGTGTCGCTTGGGATCATAAAGAGCTACCTTGTTGCAGAGAAATAGAGTTTAGTTCAGACGCATAACCAAGATTAAACTACTCTGCAAACAACATTAAAATGCTTCTACCGAAGTTCATAGGCTTGCCAGAATACATGATAAACTGACGCAACAGTCAATATCCAGAATTGAAATGCGTGGTTTTTCAAACAACGTGATGTCTGAACACTTAAACTGAATGCTTAAATCCACAGTCAGCCACTCCTATAGTTTTAATGAGAAAGTATGTGGGGTCAATAGAAGAAGCTTTAAGCAGATTCTTCAGCCGATTGCTGGAGAATCCCAACTTACAAGGGGCGATTGCCAGATTGAGTTCACCCATCTTTGGGATCATAGTGCGTAAGTAATTCGAGTCGTGTGGCGGGAGTTGATATGATCGCAGTGGATCCGAAGGGGAGTAGCGAAGCGACTGCAAACCAGCTCTGTCGGCTGTTCGTCGAATTTGAAACCTCAAAGTGACGGCGGCCGTATCGTATTCGCCATCCGAAAGGCGAACCACACAAGAGTCGTAAACGGTTTGTTCACTGTAGGTTCCTGTGTACACGTAGCTAGGGTGAACAGTGGGGATCAAGTTGATGAGAAATCGGTAAGCAGTCAAATGCATTTAAAATGCCTTTTTAATGTTATTTGTGATTGGTCAGCATCTATGTAATCTAGGTGTACAACGAATGGAATAAAACGTCAAACTTTACATCTCATCAGAAATGAGGAATATGCCATAAACCAGGCATTTCAGCAGACTTGTGACATAATACGTTACATAAAAGTGGAATTTCCCTGCGAAATTCGGAAGTAGACTAATTGACTGAAGGACTCCGTAGCATATTTCGATCTTAAAATCCAACCTCATAAAATGTGAAACTACTTGTCTACGCTTGGAATTTCAGACTGACGACCCGTGTGATAAATCCAAGCTACGATTGAGCTTGATGCCTGTCCTGCAAGTCATATAGAGGCTTTCCAAAACGAGCTTGGATCTATATGCAGTGAGATGTTTGAGGATGGATATTCCCACCAATGCCCTGATTGAAGATTTGTAGTACAGATCTTAGCGGGGTATGGAGGTACTTCATGCTTTATCAGTGACTAATGGAGGCATGTTTGGGGAGTGGGAGATTTGGCAAATATGACTCAGCCCGACGCTGCTGCCAAAAGTATGGTAATAGCGCATCGTTACAACAAATACTTGAAGAAACTGTGCTAATAAGTATACTTTCATTATTGTCATTTGCGTTCGGTACACCAGTGGACGGTGCAGCGGAGAAAAGCCAGCATCACAGGAGCGCTGAAAGATGTGTAGAGGCGTGCGCTTGGCTGATGATGGATTCTATGTGGACAGTCGTGATTAATAGGTCGATGGAAATGCTGACCTAGTGAAGGATAACATCTGCCTATACCTTTGTCCACCTGACAACCGCGTGCACAATCGCACATGCATCTCTAAGTACCCAGTGGGTGTCGGGCCTCAACATCGTGGTGCACGTTGTATCTACCGTTTCTGGAGGCCCCCATGACGCCGGGGTGTGGTCACGAGGATTCGCTGGCAGGCGAACGCCATGTTTGACAAGAGATTATGCGTCGACTTCCAGATATTCGTGACGCCTAGCATAGTATCTTCTACTGTCGTCCCTTCTAGCACACAATGGGTAGCGTAGTGTGGGTGGAGGTACGGGCGATACAGCTCAGAGCACTTATGGTGTCCCTGTTTGGGTGCAGGCGTTCAGCTGCCCTTCACAGCTTCATTCACGGGCAAGTTTAAACACAGATGCAGTTAACAGATGCGATGTAATCCCAGGTTCGTCTACTCAACTTGCTTCACATCCAGCATTCCGTAGTGGAAATAATCCTGCGAGCAAGTAGAGATTGGGTATTGCTAGGTAACTACACGGCACTTCAAGGTAGGGTTCAAGTTTGTTTGGTCTCACCAGCTAAAGGTAGCAAGACTGTGCTCGAACTCTAGGCCTTTGGGATGTCCACCGAAGCATCTATTCCTAATCCACCGAGTAGCGGTGGGCGACACTTGTCACAGCGGTTAATGACTGACCGGGGGTTATTTGCTAAGCAGTACTTGAGTGATTGGATTGCGACGCGCGATTTCAATGTGGACCGCGTTTTGCATTGAAGTGAAGCTTAGTGAATTCAATCACCGGAACCGTAAATGAGGCAGGCGGAAATTGGGTGTTGCCCGCCCGAAAACACCACACTCTCCGACCGACTTCGAGCGAGTGTTTCAACATGGCCACTCTGGTAAGTTTCAGTTCTTTGCGAATGGTTGTCCAGATTGGGGCTACGTGTCAACATCTATTCTACACAGATAATGTTTCAAAAAGTGACCCCTCAAATCCGCAAGCAATTTGTGAGTATTATTACGGACATCAGTGACCAAATATATTCCAACAATTCATCCACCGTTTGTTGAAGATGCTGAACTGTGGACCGCTGCTTAACCCACTTGTCACTTTGAACCACCTGGTAAGCGCGGAAAATGAACAACCGCAACGTCTCTGGTCAGTGGCCGAGAGATAGGTAGACACATCAGTTTGTTTCACTGTCTAACTTATTTTCTTACTTACTTAGTCAGACCCACCACTACTTTCATGTCTAATCAAGTCGATCCTTTGTTCAGACATTCGGCAAGCTTCGGACATTCACCAAGCTTCGACTCAGCCTTTCCGTGCTGTGGGACCAAATTAGATTATAATCTGTAATCCTAATCTTGCAACGTAGTACAAGACATCACCGTGCCAATGAGCCGGCTGAAGTTCTGATTCCGTAACTTGATTCATTCTCCATTGCAGAGTAAACCACCAGCGCGTAGAAAGCAGCGATAGCCCTGAACAGCACGAGTTACCTTACCAAGCCCGCATTCATCTCACTGCATTCTCGGCTGACTACTAATCCCATGGCAATTGCCGCGCTAACCTACATCACATCTCTGTCTCTAGGCAACGTTTTTTGTACTGCGTTTAGTAGACAACACTAGCTAGCACTTCGATACTGCTACTAACGCTGATTCGAAGCAAATTGAGCGTACATCAAACAGATCTGTACTGTGAAATAAGATGCTAAGTTTAATGCTGTCTTGTGATTGGGGCTAGCCTAAACAAGATCGAGTTTCCGCTCGAATGTCCCCTGAAGAACAATCGGTCAAGACAGCAGACAGCTGAAACGCCTACCTATTTAGATCAGAAAGAAGTGAAAAATCTTGATGTAGAAAATTTCTACTTGTTTTCGTCTGAACAACTTCTAAATGCTGTGTCGTGCCTGGCTGCTATACCATAAGCCGTAGTTCTAGAAGCTAACGCTGCTGCTCCACCAGGTTCGTAACTTATATGGCAGTAGAAGGTAAACTGAGCTTTATGGAACTTAGCATACCAGTCATGATGGTTCACCGTCAGCCCTAATGGACTAGTGACAAAATCCGCTAGTGTCAAGTGATTGAATTCGGTCCCTGCTAGTACCGGTAGCTACGCAGTCCCGTTGGAGTAAAAGACAGGGGATTCTCATTCAAGCATCATGTGAGAAACATCGCGACAGCTGAGTAATCTGACAGAAACTTTCCGAACGCCAGTTGAGTACGCTTGAAAATAAATCGGAATGCGTCTGGAAATAAAAAAAAGAATACTAGACTGGTTACTTAAACATGGTCGCGCAAGGCGATACATTTTCACGAGCCAACAACTCACTGAATTCGTTCCGTGTCAATCTGTCTCTTTGTGAAGCGATCTCCTTGGTGCAATGTCTTCACCGCCTTGGGGCCACCCACACTCCCCGCAGCAGAAAGGCGAGCTAATTCCTGTGCATCACCACCCACAGCCAGCTCTTCAATATCCCAGGCGGCTTCAATAAGATCCAGAACATCCACACCATCGGGTCCATCCAACCGAGGTAAACGTTGTATGACACCGTATTTTGGCGCTTCAACAAGGGTCACAATTAGATCATCAGCAGAGGTATCGCGATCCGCAATAATCAGTCCACCTGGTTTTTTGTCCAAGGTGATCCAAGCAACACCCTCCAACGTCAGTCCATTGGGAATGGAAGCGTCCACAGTCATTTCGGGAGGATAACGATTTGTCGGCCGGATCAAAATGTTCGCTTGTTTCTCCACCACATGTAAACCATCGGAAACGGACACCATAAAACAGTCCACAGCCAATGGCCCACTCCCATTAGTGGCCACCATGTGAGTCGATATTGTGGAGGCATTTTGTAGGTATAATAGATTCATCATACCCAGGTATGACTCGGTAATGGGAGGACTGTCTTTGCTCAGAACATAACGCTCACCGTGTTGCCAGAACACAGTCAGCCTGCCGTACGCAGGCAACTGTGTGAACTGGATTTGCAACATATCACGAGGTACATCCTTGTCACTAACGCTGAACAGGTACGGAGTGAGGATACGACGGGAACCTGCTGTCACTGAAAAGTGTCGTAACAAACGGACATCAGGATTCTCATCGTTGGTTGGTTGGATAGCAATTTTTACCTCCACGGTGTGTGGGCTGTAAAATTTACCGTCGAATGCACGAACGGTGAACACATCTTCCACTGATTCCTGACCTCCTCCGTGAAGAGAATTAACGTAGAACACACGGCCGTCTTTGAGTGCCTGCATGCTGAAAGTGAGTGTTTGACTGAGTTCCGCCTCAGTGTGGGATATGTTCTTCTCAGTAGTATTCACATCCATGATTCCAATGTGTCCCCATCGAGATGGGTGAATGAGTTGCAATTGAATATCCTTTTCGGCAGTGTCAGCATCCGAAGCATAGAGTGTGTACTGATCAATCAGCGATCGATCACCTTCTTTGACCTGAGAGAAATGAAATGTTCCGGTTACTACATGACGGATATGGATCCTAGGACATTTTATCTATCATCACAGTATATAATGTCGACTGGTTTGTGAAATCTTTCTGATAGGATTGTGGGTAGACTTAGAGCAAGGAACTTCAATGAACGCCGAAAAAGGAGAAAACCTTTATTTTGGTCAAGCATATCTTGTAGATCCTATATCTAACGACCTCATATTAAGTAGCGTGAGTGATACCATTTCTTTACCGAAATGAGTTCATTTTTCATCTCTTCATAGGCACAGACACAGAGTTTTAGATAATTCCTTCAATTAGTTACATGCCCTCAGTAACGCTGCTTCGCCCGAGTGCAATTCAACACACACGAAACTTACTTTCCACTCTTGAACTATTTCAAGTTTACACGATCGAAATTAAACCGTGATTATCCTCAAACGAAAGTTATCCAAACACTCAAAAACGATCAGGAATACATGGGCTTGAAAAACTGAATCCACAGTCGTGACTTTGGTTCCCGCATACCTGAAAGGCTTCTCATCTTGGGCTCGCCGAAGTAACTATTGCCAAGGGAGACGTCTAACATTGAGATCTCTAAGGAATAAGGCGAGTGCTCACCTCAACAGCACTTAAATGACTTGGCTCAGCGGGTACAAAGAACAATGAACAATGATTTATGCCGGGTAAAATAACAGTTTCTTGACAAGTCCCTCAGGATGGTGGGGGTAAAACTGCAAGTGTCCAAGGAGATGTGAGTTGTCTGTTTGAGCGTCTATCTAGTAAATACGCTGTTGAATGATAGTAGTGTAAGTGGGAATTGAATGTGGTCGACGAGGCAACATGGAGCAGTTGTAGTTGACGTACTCAGTTAGAAAAATAAAAGCAAGGATACTCGCTTCTGTATTGCCCCCCCAGGCTTATGTAACATGTTAATCCGAGTTGTAGGGCTACTTAATATATTCCATAGAAGCACAGTTTAGGTAACGAAGTGTTGAGTGCCAAAGGCAAAATCCAATGGTTTTTTGAAAATATCCGAGGTGTGGAAAGAAACAACCAACTGAGAGAAAGTTCCAGCATTGACAAACACAAAAAAAAGAACACCGGGATTCCAGGTGGCTATACTGTTCCAACAATTGCAGAGGGTTACTTCTGAGATGGGTGTTGTGGCTGAGTTTTAGCAAGTGACGGCATACTTGACTAGGGTCACACCATATTTGGCAGACTAATATATGATCGCCGCGCAGTATTCGATAGCGGCCACTGAAAACTCCCACTGGCTCCAGCCTTTGTTCGTAGGACAGATTTCGTGGCCCTGCGTTATGGTTTCCCTAGCACTTTTAAGTCGCGCTCCAACCAAAGTTGACCAGCTTGGATGTCGTATTCAACGTGACGGCGCACATAAGAATTGTACATCATGGGGAAGATGGATGGATCGAAACTTCTGAATGCTCTCCGCGGCCAGCTGACATGCTGGCTGGCTCTCTTCGCAGCTGCCTTTCGCTGCTTTGAACAGTTACGATCAATTTGAATGAGCACAAGGTAGCGTTCTTGGGAAGTGGTTTGCAATACATGTGACCCAAGCCGATACACATAGTCCTGCATTTGGCGCAATTGAACAGCGTGAAAATTTTCCACATTGAACGGTGGTGTATTCCGAACTGACCAGTTAGAAACTGTCTTGAGGTCACGCTGGGACTTTTCCTGGACGTTCAATCCTCTGATCGCTCGCCATAAGTTGTTATCCTCCGCGAAAAATAGGATATCGGAAGTGATTTCGCTCACCAGATCATTTACGAATATCGAGTACAGACGGAGCCCTAGCACGAGCCTTGTGGGACATCGCAATCCACCATGACTGTGTCGGACAGGGATTCTCGTACTCACACGTCCAAGCTACGTTCTTACAGGAAATTGCCTATCCAACTCAGCAGTGGGTCACCAATAACATAAAGCTGAACTTGATGTTGGAGAATTCGGTGGTCTAATCCAGGAATGTCCAAAGTCCGGCCAGCGGACCGAATGCGGCCCGCGGTAACATTTTAACTGGACCGCGGCTTCATCCTTAAATAATAAATTCAATCCTGGTTCTTTTTCGTACAGAAGATATTATGTATATTACCAAAAGGTAACGATATTTTGAGTAGAAAATTCAAGGTGGTCAGATGCTGACAAAAATCAATGATGTACTGTTTATTTTTAACTAACTAGCAAAATTCGATCTAGTGCCTCTATGAAAAGGGTCTTAACTTAATCAAAAAATAAAGTTCTTAAGTTCTTAGTTTCGCACTTCACATGAAAGCTAGCAAAAATTGTGAAATGTTATTATTTTAATGTCAGACTGAATATGGCCTGACCTAAGTTTACCTCACAAAATATGGCCTACCTTGCGAAAACTTTGGACACCCCTTGTCTAAGCGGTCAAACGCTTTTGAGAAACCCAGGTAAATGATATGGTTTCCTGCTCCAGCATCAACTGTTTCAGTCCAGCTATTGCGTGCAATGAATTGGTATCTGGTAGCGTGAATATAGGCGACATAATTAACTTACTTTTTCCTCAATTGCACCGAAGTCGTTGACATTGAGGAGCTTCGTTGAGGGGTGTGATTACATTCAAATGTTTTACTACATCGTGCCCAGCTATTATAGGCAAGAGCAGCATCCTGATGGGATAATTGAATGCAGAAAGTGAGTTTTAAAGTGGTGTCACCAGCTAACTACGCTTTCCGGACTTACCAACAACAAGCAGACGGAGTTTTTGAAGAGGAAGAGGAGGAGGAGGATGTAGTAACCTACCACGGGCCGACCCTTCAGCGCTGTTGTTATTAATTAGGTCTTAAGTTCGCTGAGCACTCACTGTCATTATCCCAATGATCAGAAGACGCTGGAATTCCTGGTCACTTAAAAACAATTGAGGTCATTTACGGTGCCGCGATCTATCTGTGCCAGCCTGTAACTATAAAATGTCCTTTAATTAACGGGTACCCACGCCTGGTCTGTGGCCACCGTTGGGCCTTCTTTGAGTAGGATAGGCTACCCCTTGCTCCTCTTTTGATTGCACAATCTACAAAATTGCCAAGCAACCCAAGTGTTTTTGCGTGTTACTGAGCTGAAGAACAAAACACGATTTGTAGCGCCCAAAAAGATAACTCTTAGCTTTCATGTACCATTTACTTTTTGACCGGTTGTACATTATTCTTGCTTTGTTTAATCTTCCTTACAACCGGCTCATCACTCGACCACCTTGTAAGTTCCCGCGCTCACGTGTTCGCTCTTGTCTCGCTTCATCCGTCCGCGTCTTCTTGTAGCCCCTCGAATACAGTTCGCTGTGTCCGACTCCAATTGCCTTCTGATAGCCGCGCTTAATTTCGCGCACCGTCTCGGACTAGTATTAACTAGTCCTACAGAATGCACGCACAACCTGGACTTCATTCATAAACACATGTCATCATAAAGCGCCGACAAATTTTAGTCCCGGCCCCTCAGCAGCGTTTATTATTCTCACTTTCATACTGGCTGGTATCTTTAAGTAGAATCAATCCTGTTGGACTGCAAATCGGTTACCCAACAGGTGCATAAATGTCGGTTAGGGCCACCATCTTCCTTCTAAAAGTAACGGACAAGCGAATCCGGGTGGTTTGTCGGATGCACAGGACGTATTTCACCCAGTACGAAGGATCCCCAAGCGTACGTTTCTAGCTGCATTCAGCAAAGATGAATAGATTATTCCATCCGGAGCGGAGTAGTTCCAATCTCAAACCCTGCGATAACATTGCACAAGCAAAAGGATTGTGTAAAGAAATAAGGCTTGCGGTACCAGGTTAATTGAATCGGGTGTGTTTCATTCACCTACAACATTCAGAGGTTAAACCATGCCCTACTCAACACGAACCATAAGGAGGCTCAGCTGTTTACCCGATTTCTTTCCACCATTATTGTATCTATCACATCAAATGCAGAGTGCGTTGCAGTGAATGACTTCAGTGGAAGTGAATTTAAGTAATCTTTACACCATCTACTATACGTTTGAGATATCGCACTTGCCGGATAATGCCCAAGAAAGCGTTGTCGATAGCGTCTGGCAAAATGTTTAACTAAGGTGTATTCGGTTTGAAACATTTCCTTGCATTCCACTTTGACCAACCGTGCCTTCCGTTGTTTCTTTACTTGACCCCCACATCAGTCCTGGGCTTCTGTGCGATCCTGGTGCACCGATAAGCTGCATAGCCAGCGCAGAATCCGGAATACCTTCTATTACATACGTACGTAAATTGCACGCATATTCCCCCAACTTCCTTATGCGATAGTACGAAATCATTGTGACAGTTTTCATTCGCCCATTTCCAAAAACAACAACTAGCATCATTGAGAAATATACCATTTGGTTAGTTGCTTAGTTGCCAGCAAGAATGGGACTTACAACTAGTTAGGTAAGCAGTGAGGCACGGTAACGAAATAAGTGGGCACACCGCAGGATCGATATCTTGTCTAAGCCAGGATTTACGGCTCATTGAGAAAAGATGGACAAGGCGCGAAAGAATCCGCCAAGCGCTTGGTTGCTTTGTTTACAACCGCACACGATTTTTGCTCCGAAAGCATTTATAAAAGCTTTGCAACACTTCAACTTAAGCACGCAAAATGCATGTCGAATGTGTTCTCGTTACTTTGAACGTTTACCGGGATAATAACAGAAAGTCAACTCTGTAAGTTATACTTTCGTCTTCCCCCCTTTCACTAACGATAAGAAAAGCGTAAGTAAATTGAGCAACACCGCACTCTTCAGTCCCTTTTGCGTTTGAAGTTACTCTGCGCCAACTCATCGCATGTTAACTATTTTGCACTCATTTGACTCGGATGTACCAAAGCCTTTCGGTATATCATTAAGTGCAAGAAGTATTCGCTTATTTCAACATATCTTTCGTTCCGCGTGCAACACCCCTGCTTTCTGAGTATGCGCAAGTCCAATTGTTCCTTATCGAAAAGACACACGCAGTGCTCCCACCAG